TTGGGCAGTGGGACAGTCCCAACACTTGTAGCTCCTCTTGTATTCTAAGCTGAAGTCTTCCACTAATGCCTGCTGCCCCCACGTATTTCCCGGACAGTGCCATCAGATCACCCCACTATAATGAGCGAATTCATGGCTCTGGAGGAAACATAACTATGTTTTTTCCTTTCTTATTTCCTAGTGCTAGTTTCATACGGTAGTGATAAAAGGAGCATTCTGATCCTCTTAAGCGCTGGCTTGGAAAAATAAATAAAGGTGAATAAAAATTCCCCACGCTCTTCTCTCTGCATCAAGGCCCAGTGGAATCAATTTCCCCGCGCCGAGACCACTGGAATCAATGGAGTGAGCTCCTGAATTCATTTCCACGGGATTCGGCATTGTAAAAATAATTGGATTGCGCTACACCCGTAACACTCTGTCAGGAAAGAGAGAAATTGTGCCTTCGATAGCAGGCGGGATGGAAACTGGGCTGAGGACTTAGGAGGAGCTATTATCAAGTCCCAAAAGAGCCTAGCAGTGCTCCCCTCAATGAGGTGTTTAAAACCGGCTTCCCTAGTGAGAACGGGAACACTTTCTTTGTTCCCATCTTTAAAATTAACTGCGTAGTATTACCACTACCAATGAGGTGTTTAACATCAAAATTGCCTTCCCTGGTGAGAAGAAAAACACTTACTTTGTTTCTTTTCTTACAATTAATGGAGGTTTTTGAAAACTCATCCTATTCAACCAACAGTTGCATAGGGGAGAAAAGATGGGATTTTTAAATGTTGCTTTTGGTCGCTCATCAAAGGTTTCCAGCACATTCTTTTAAAATGTTTAGACCACTTAGGGAACATCTGTCCCTCGGCTTTATTTCCCCAATTATAGTTCAGAACACTGGTCTGACTGGTGTGACCCTGGCAGGGAGTTAGTTAACAAGTACTCGCTAGAATGAGGGAAGGAAGGAATGACTCACTCCACTAACCCATATTCCTCCACATTCCTCATGAGCTTGCAAATTTATAACAAGCCTACACTCCTTGTTCAATGAAGTTAAAGAAATTGCTTATTAAAATTAAAATTAGTTTCTAGTATTAATAACTGGGGGGGCTTTGATAGATTAGGCTAGATGCTCCCTCCCTTCCCCCATTTTCCTCAGGGGAGTCCAGAGGTGGCTTAACTTCTATAAGCATCTGGCTAGTACTTGAGATGGGAGGTGTTCCGTGGTCACTACCTTTTGCAAGGTACATCAGAATGTAGAAGGCAAGAGAGACAAAGTCTTGACTTTTACAGGTCAAAAGTCCACGGGGGGTGGGGGCATAGAAGATAAAGAACCAAGCTACCCCTTATCCAGATGAGAAATTCTCCAACGGAAAGGGGAGGCGAGGGAACCAAGAGAACTGACTGTTGGGTGTTTCCCTGTGGAGTACCCCGTGTCTGCATCCTTACCCCCAAGCCTGAGTTTCATACGGAGAAGGAAGAGAAGGAGGGGTGGGGAAAACGATGGAAACCACAGTCGGCTTGAGGGATCCTTGAGCCAGGTGTGGCCGATGCCCCATTCCCAGCAGAGCCCCTCCTCCTAGCATGGCACGCAGAGTAGATGAGAAATGTCTGCGGTGTCTGAGCCGGTGGACCTGAGAGGGCCGCAGAGAGCACCTGTGTTCCCAGCATGGCACAAGCAATGGAAGGTTCACCCTGCCCGAGAGAGGCAAGGGGATAGCACGAAGCATCCTCTGACCTCGAGGCTCGGCCACAGGGTTGAGGAAGCAGCGGCCCATAGGGACCTCCATGGACCAAAACCTGAGAGGGAAGATGGCCATTTCAAGGGATGCCTGGGAGCTCCTCCCCTTCTCTCCCAGCTTAAGCCCCCATGCCTCAACACTATACAAGCCCCCTGGTAAGGATACTCGAAACCCTGAGTGGACTGCAACTGGGTCCCCCTCCCCCCTTTGTGGAATGGGACCTTAAAACAGAAAAAGAATTCAGTCATAAAAAAACACTCTCTGCACACCTTCAGTTTTGGGGCTGAGACTTGTACCTGCTGAATGTAGCTCATTTGCAAAGACATTATTTACATAAACCAAAAAACTAATTATTACAACTGCATCATTGCCAAAAAACATAAAACGTGTTTCTAAAGTTTATTTATTGAGTGTAAACTATGTACCAGTACTGACCTGTTCTCTTAAACACATGATCTATTTTTTTTCCTTACAATTCATTGGTGCCACTATCCCCATTTTACAAGTAAGAAAACAAGGACTTCGAGAAGCTAAATAATTTGCCCAAGGTCCCAGTGGTGGTATAAAATGGAGCAAGAATTCAAACCCAGGAATGTCTGACTCCTAAATCAATACTATTAACTAAGCTAAGTGATGTACTGTCCTCTCATTTGGCTTCCCAGACTCCTGTAAGAACATTTCTTTCTACTTCCTTCGCTGCCTGTAGTTTCAAGGCAGTTGTTACCAAACCCAAGTTTATTTGCCCAACGCTTCGAAGGCCAAGATTCAAAATGACTGAGTTTGGAGTAAGGAAAGGTTTATTGATCGAGAAGGCGCCAACCAAGAAGATAGGAGACTTGATGGTAGCTCAAATCTATCTTGCTCGCTGGACTAGATTAAGGGTTTTAAGGGGTTAGGAGGAAGAGGTATGCATAAGTACTGGTGGGGAAAGATTCTTTTCTAATTAATTAATTATTTTTAAGTGGGCAAGCTTTAATTGAAGGATCTTGGAACTTGGCCATTTATGGTAAAGGGACGTCAACACCAGATCTTCCTGGGCAGCACTCTTTGCTTCTGAAGGTTATGCCCTGGACCTTTGGTTCAGGGAGGGGGTTGACAAGACTTTGGCCCTGGATGCAGCTGGCGGTCAAAGTGCTCTCATCTGTGCATGCTCTGGCTGCATGATCTGAGGTTGTGGTCTGTTATCTCTGAGAATCAACTCAAGATATTTTTAAACAGGATAGGACCATTTTGAGCTGGTTTTGTGGTTACGCAATCACATATTTGTGTACTGGAGCTCTGGGTACAAAGAGACACAAATTTCCTATCCTTGCTACTCCTAGTTTCCCAACTGCCCGATAACTGAGTGGATTATTACTGTCGTAATCTATAGTGCCTGGAATTAAGTTTTGAAGGGTTTTTTTTTTCCCAATTGATTTTTAGAGAGAGAGGAAAGGGAGAGGGAGAGAGAGAGAAATACCAATGTAAGAGTGCAACATTGACTGGCAGCCTCCTGCATCCCCCCCTCCCCCGGAAACTGGCTTCCAGGCATGTGCCCTGACTGGAAATCAAACTGGCACCCCTTCAGTGCATGGAACGGTGCTCAATCAACTGAGCCATAGTGGCCAGGGTGGCTGGACTTAAGTTTTAGCTCAGTTCCTATTTCTTTTGCAGCCACAACATCTTGTGAGTTAATCAAAATTGCCAATTCATTAAACTTCACCAAGGAGTAAAATGTGTCAGGAGACAAAATTCCAGACCACAAGTCAGCAGACGACACCCTCGGATTCTCTCTTCCTCTCCCACTAGCCAACTGACCTCAGGCAATTGCTCAACTGCTCTGTTTTCTTATCTATAAAATAAACATTGTCTTAAGGTCTCCTTCCAGCTCTAACTTCCCATGATTCTGAAGAGCCAGGATCAAGTTGTTATTTTATGGGAACTTAAAATGTATTTCTTCAAATAATAACTCTTCTCTGATCTCCACCTGTATCTTTCTCCCAGACTTAAATCTCCCACATTCTAGGATCAGGCACAGGTGAAGTTTCACAAAGGGATGGAATATAATACCTCATCTTGTTGGCATTAGGAGGAACACAAAGACTAAAAAGACAAAATTGTCTTCATCTGACTATATAAAGAAACATAAGAAGCACTATGAAAAGGTTTTATCACTTTGGCTAAAATGTGGAGAAAAAGGCAGTCATACTAATAGGCCTGGCTCCCACAGGAGAACCGTCTTATGCCATTTGAAACTACTTACTATCACCTTTTCCTCAAAATCTTTTCTGGTATTGGTGGCTTTTCTGTTCACTTGGCCATATCTCCATTTCCTCAAGTGTAAATTCTTTGAACTTTTGAGTTTGTTATTTTCCTTACATGATATTGACCCTATTCAGATGTTTTATTATTGTCAGGATGGACCCATGACTCAGATCTGTACAATCAGAATACTTCTTACCTTTGGTTAGAGTGTTTATTTAAGGGATACATATATGACCCAACAAAACGAATGGGTTCTTAACAGAACTTCAGGACATTGGCAGAAACTCTCGGAAAAAATAAATTCTGATGGAGGACATATACCGTGGGCTACTAGGAAGCATCTTGCCACTATGTAGGAAGAGCTTGCCCAATACTGAAGCTAATACAAAGAAAGCAAAATGTAGAGATGAGAAGAAAAAGGCTTCCTGATTACAGTATATTGTTTGAGTACTTGGAGCCCACAGTCTACTCCCCGGACCATCAGTAACAGCCAAGAAATTCCCTTTTTGTTTAAGCAAAAACCATTTTAAATCATAATTTTTGTCAACTTCAACTGAAATTAATCAAACTAGAATCTGTAAACATGTAGAGAAAGTCCATAGTTCTCTACTTCTTCACGTCAGTAGATGCCCAAGGAGTGTTTCCAAAATTGAGGTAACCGCTAATGCCACAGGAAAAGAAGGTACAAGCATACCTCTAAGACATTGCAGGTCTGGTTCCAGTCCACCACAATACAGCAAATGCACAATAAAGTGAGTCACATGAATTTTTTGGCTTCCCAGTACACATAAAAGTTACATTTACACTATACTATAGTCTATTAAGTGCACAATAGCATTGTATCTAAAAAAACAATATACATACCTTATTTTAAAAATACTTTATTGTCAAAAAATGCTAACCATCATCTGAGCCTTCAGGGAGTTGCAGTCTTGCCTCTATGCTGATAAAAATGCAGTATCTGTCAATAAAGTGAAATGCAATTAAACGAGGCCTGCCTGGACAGTGGAATCCTATGTTTCATTTACATGTTGATTTCACTCTCACAGCAGCAAGCAAATGTATTGACCTTTATTAATGTTAAGGCTTAACATAAAACTAAATGGTCCAGGCAGAGCCAACACTTCCCTCCTCCACCCCATCCATCCTTCCCCCTCAACCCCCACTGATTTTCATAAGTTATCGTCTCATCTTTTCTCTCTGAATCTCTCCAGACCAAAAAGGAATTTAGAAATTTGTTCCCTATGATGAGGCCTTTAAAAAATAATAGCCCTAGCCAGTTTTGCTCAGTGGTTAGAGCGTTGGCCCCAGACTGAAGGGTCCAGGGTTCCATTCCGTCCAAAGGCAAGTACCTTGGTTGCAGGCTCCGCCCCAGTCCCGGCAAGAGAGGGAGGCAACCAGTGGATGTGTCTCTCTCACATCCATGTTTCTCGCTCTCTCTTGCCCTTCCACTCTGAAAAGCAATGGAAAAAATATCCTCAGATGAGAATTTAAAATAATAAAAATAAAAAATAAATGTTGTTCTTCCCAACTTTGTGGACCATGGTCTATGCCCTGAATCTTTATATGCAAAGTCAACTTTATAGGAATAAAAAAACCCAAACATATATCTTTTCTCTTAAGCACCTGGTCCTTTCAAATAATAACTCCAGCTTTCAGACCATATTGCTCTTATTATATCGGGTGTGGCTTGGACAGGTGGGTGTTGTCCACTGCACCAAAAGGTTGCTGGTTCAATTCATGGTTGGGGTGCGTACTAGGGTTGCAGGGGGTGAGATGCTTCACACTCACATTGATGTTTTTCTCTCTGTCCCTCTTTCTCCCTCCTTCCCTCCCTCCCTTAAAATAAATAAACTATTCTTTAAAAAAAAATCCCAAAACATGAATATCATCTAGGTATGTAGTCATCAATTATTGTACTTGCTATCTCCCCCATGTCAAAGAATTCATGAAGGGAAAGACCATAAAATTTTCCAGTCTGAAATTGCTGGATTTCCATACCCTTTCACCCCTCCAAAGTTTCAGGAATATTCCCTGAAGAGCAAAACTAGAGATAAAACCCCACATTTCAAAATTTCTGTGTATCTCTGTTTTTATGAAGTTTCTTTTGGCATGGCAGCAAAGTGGACGATTTTCACGTAATAGCTGCATTTTGATTGTTCCAGCTTGTATACCGGGTGGGGTAAAAAAGTAGATTTACAGTTGTGAGTTCCCAAAACACAGAGTTTATTCTTGTCTATTGTCTTAATTATTGTTATTTTCTATATAAACCGTAAACCTACTTTTGCCCTACCCTGTATAAATTACATGGTTTTTAAAAAATTGTTAATTTTATCTAAATGATCGGTTTTTTTTCTTGCTTATTCTGGTTCAAGCATTTTAAAATAAAAATCCACATATAGTAAAGGGAGATCTTTCACAATTTAACATTGTTACATAGCGCCTATTCTAGCTTATTCTTCTTAAATTACGCATAGACCTGAAATTGGGAACATACAACGACGACGCTGGCAGTGGCCGCTGTTAAGCGGGGCCTTATAAAGCGAGAAAAGCAGCTCCGAGGGAGCGGCCCGGGGCGCGGGAAAGGGCAGGCTCCGCGCCCCCTCCGGCCGTCTGTCCGGCTGCGGGTACGTCTTTAAGGAAACGGATGCAGGGCGTCCCCGCGAGGCGCAGTTTCGCTCAAAAACCACCCCGGGAGGAAGCAGGGGTCGCCGGTCGGACCGCGGGGCGAGGTCGAGTTTCGGGCTGTGGCCGCGGGGCACCAGCGACCCGCGCTCCTCGTTACCCCGCGTTCCCTGCACCGC